TGTGGACTGTCTGCTCTAATTGGGGCCATCATCCTCAAGGCCTGGTGGGCCAGGATGTGCTCCACTCTCTCCTTCTCCCCCTTCATCTGCTCCCTGTACTCTGATCAGATGTGTCCCTCTCCTGGAGCTGCAGATTCAATGCCCTCCTTTGAGATAAATTCTCCTGAGGAGAGGGGCAGGTGTCCATGTAAGAGTTGGGACTGGGGCTAACCCCTGACTTTGTTCTGATATACATCAGTTTGTCATGAGTTGTAACTGACTCAACAACAATTTATAGCAACAACAGTGAATGGTAAAAATGGAGTCATTATATAAAATCTATTTATGTATCAATTTTAGTTGTATTCAAAGTGAGTCGTTTGGTCAGCCTGTAATGAGTGGTGAGCCATGTTCTTAGATCTGACATCACACTGGGCATTTTAGAATGAAGTATATACACCTTTGTTTGAATTTCTCAGGAAACCAGAACCTTGAGATGGCCTTAAAGCACTTTAATAACCTGTGGCTGGCCTGGTGTCTCCGAATCAGTTCTGTTACAAATAACCATCATCTACCACCATTGGAGACTATCATTTTTAGAGATGTGAAAACAAGGAGCCCAAATCCTTACCTACATGGATTTTACTATATAGCAAAAGGAACAGGCCAATAAGAAATAGGTTCAGTGTGCAGAGCTACGGAAAATTTGCATAAAAATATTCTTTGAAATAAGAAAGTCTTTATAAATTAAAATAAATTCCCCATGCAAAAACTATGTGTTTCTTGGGCATACTGGGGGAAGAAAAGTGATTGTTTGGTTAGTTTGTTCACAAGTATCTGTCACACGCATCTCAGAAGGTTTTGAGGAGAAATGTGAAGTCAGGAAAAGACACCTGGAAGCAGAAAAATGGAGTAGCTGTAACAAGGGCACACGCGCACACACAGCAATACCTTTCTAAGTAAGGTATTGGGCTAACAGTCAAATGTGGGGAAGAAAACGATGGCAGACATTTTTGAAAGTCTGGTCCAGAGTATAAGAATTAAATGATAGTCTATATCATTTAGAACATTTGCATGTTCTATGTTGATTTTTTGAAAATAAATTGTTGACTTATTAATGCTCCATATATTAAATACTTCCTACATAGATGTAGGGTGCTCTGCCAAATCTTCCTGATGGTAAACAGTATTGTAATCTATACATATTCTTTATCTCTTAATCACCAATCCAGCTACTTCTTAAAATAAATAATGTATTTGTCATAACTTGAATGCTGAAGGTATCATGTTTGTTATATAACAACATTTTATTTCATTTTATTTGTGCAGAACTACTATGGAGCTGCTAAGATGATTTTCTCTGACAACCCACTTGGTTTGACGTGTGGAATGGTTTGTCCCACCTCTGATCTTTGCGTTGGTGGGTGCAATTTATATGCTACTGAAGAAGGACCCATTAATATTGGTGGGCTGCAGCAGTTTGCTACTGAGGTATGAAAACGTACATATTTTGTTTTGTTTTTCCCTGTCCACCCCTTTTCAGAAAAAAGATCTTTAAGTTATTTAAATTCCTGGTGCTGTGTTGATAGTTAACATTTTTGGTGTGTTACACAGCTAATGTGTAAGTATTTTTTTCCCAACAAGCAGTATTTTATTCAGCAACTTGGCTACAGATGTGAAATTTTGTAACGCCATATGTCAATTGAGTTGAAAACCCCATAAGATTATTAAAATACTTTCACTGAAAATTATATAAATTATAAGATCTGAAAATATAACTTATTCCTTAACACTGCATTTGAACATGGCTGGGGGACACTGTTATGGAAAGGTTGTCCTGCTTAAGTGATTCTTTCCCTTAAAACTGGAGCTAATAAATTTTGAAAAACCTTGAAAACTAAATCCAATTTTTTTAACACTAAAATTTGTTAAATGTTGTGACTTGCGGATTGGAAATAGGTCTGTTATTTGAATATGGAGTTATAACAAAATATGAAAGCATGTCTGCACTATTTATTTCATAATCTGTGATCACGGCATTGTCTTTTGTGAATCCTTTGTAAGTGATTTTGATTCACTGAGACATCTTTGCGCTCTCTGGGGTTTCCTAGTTGGGATCAATTACCAGATCAAATCCCATGCATCATTTAAACAATCAGCTTATATGGAGGTGACAAGCAAGATTTTGTGATCCTTTGGGACCAGGTGGCTAGAGAGACAAATGAACTGCCTGTCACCACTAGCTTTTTAGTCAATGATTTTCCGATGAGGTTTTGTCAACTTAAACACAACACACGCTTTCCTTTTAGGACCCATCTCATAACATCCCTCAAGCTTAAGTCTCATTTTGCTTTTATTAATAAATCAGAGCTATTCCCTCCATGCTTTCTGACAGGTTAATTCTAAGCAAAGTCTCCTGGGAATGAGAAAATAGAAACAATTTGAAGTTGTGAATTGTTGCAATAAATTCTTGGATTTAATTTCTTTTCTTACCAAATTCAAAGTTGCACCAGGCTTATGTCACCAGTTCAAAGTATGATCTTTACAACCTGAGACAATCCTTAGTTGATTGAGATTCACTTGAATTCCTCCTCATGTTTCTTTGGGGACTCAAGGTTTCTTCATTAAACTGCTGCAAACTTGTACAATATGGAGTAAGTGAAAGGTTGGATCATATGTATAATAACTAATACAATACTTCACATCTAAATGAGATAAAATAAGGTTAGTTTTTCAGTAACGTAAACTTAAAAGAGAAAGAGAAGACATTATTCCTCAGGGAACTCACACTTCCTTCTATGGAGGTCTATGAATGTCATAAATGATTGAGTAGAAACTTACTAAAATTTGAGAGTGGCCACACTTAGGACTTTCTAGAGTTATGACCTAATAAGGAGTATTCATACCTAAAGACTGTAATTCAAATTCTTAGCAACTTGAGTAATTTAGAGTGTGAATGTACTTCCCTTCTTTCCAGTTAGTTTGTAATATGGGTAGCTGCAAAGACACCCAGTCCTTACTTACCAAGTCAACGAGGTTCCCAGGACTAGGTGGTAATAGGAAAATTACCATGATGTGAAAATGGACAATGATCACAGCAGATCCCAAATGACACCACTGTATGTTTATGAAATGTCAGTGTCCTGTAACTGTCAAATCACACCATTGCATAATTGCCAAATTACGGAGAATCATGGCCTAGACATGTGGGTACATAATTATTATCATCCCAGCCCTCATTATTCTCATCTTGCGCTTGGCCAGGTATATGTCATTTATGCACAAAACAGTCATATGTAGTATGAATGTGAAGTGTTGTCATGAATGTGAAATGTCACATAATAGGATATTTGATAAATGAGGAGTAGGTATATATGCATCAAATCATAAATGGAACACTCTTGCTAGAAATACCTAGAAGAATGTTCCATTTCATTCTTTTGGTTTTTTTCCAATCTGGCCACTGTAAACCCGAGAATATCCTTTACCTGAGTGTACCGGCACGTCAAAGACGTGTGATGATTAGAAAATGATCTGCACAGTAGTTAACCCTCAGCACAAAATATAAAGAAAGTGCAGAATATTATTTTTCTCAAACTACTATTGCCTTGAATCTGTATAATAAAGTAAAACTTGATACAGATTTTTTGAATTGTTTGAAGTAAATTATTCCTTTTTTATCTATAAAGAAATAGAAATCTATTTTGCAACCTCATTAAGCAAAGATTAGTTAGGTAGACTAAATAGACTAAAATAGAATAATATTTTTCTAAATTGGCTACCTTCCCAAGTTTAAGTGAATTTAAAAATGCCTACCCAGTAGTTTACCATTATTGGTTTAGGTCCATGCTTTTTATATATCTTCCATTTGAGGATGGGTGTATGATTTGGGGTGACTCCAAGAATTAATCACACGAAGAACAGCCTGCAGTAGAATCAGACCAGCCATTTTTTTGTTTTGGTCTTACATTGTTATCACTATTCAGTCCTTTTCTGCTCCCACATTGGCAGGGCAATGACTGTGACCCTGCTTCAGACACTGTGTACCCCTGGGACAAACAGGCTGTAAGGGTGGTTCCAATTCTATATAGAAGGCAATGTTTTCCTAGTTCAATTAGGTGTAACAATATTGCTTCAGTAAAATAAACTTAGAAACAATACTTTGGTGTGGATTTATTATCTATCTCCTGAGGGTTTTAAAATTTTTAACTAAAAATGTAACCCGAGCATTTTAGTTTGAAATGTGTATTCAGTATTTAATTGAATATTTAAGAAATCATATATTCATTACTTTTAATATGCAATCAATACTTTCACATTTAATTAATGAATTATTGAAAAACAAAGATTGCGATGAATGTTTGTATACATTGCCTAAAGTTTGAAAAAAGTAAATGTAAATAGAACATTAGTTATATGTCATTTTTCTTAATAGTATTACATTGCTATGGGGATAAATTAGAAAAATTCAAACTTAAATATAATGGCTGTAAAGTTAACTTCAAATACTAAAATGATTGAGCGTTAGGGTATTGTTATTTATTTACTCCCTTCATTATAGATTTTTCAGGAATTGTAAGATTATAAAATTGGTATCTGAAGATCATTCTTCTCAATACCATATTTTTACACAAATAGTTTGCACATTATTTACATTTGCAAACAGCACAACCTCCTAGTATATTATTTACGTATGTATGCTATGCTTTTGTGTTATTTACATGGGCATATTATATGTGAAAACAAAGTAAATATCATGAAATTATTTTAATATCTAATAAAATATTGCCTTGTATAGTCAAAATTTCTTGGAACTTTTATTAAAAATAATTTAAGTAAATTATTTTATAAATATTTTAAGAAATTAAAACTATTTTAAAATATTAATAATGCAATTCCATATTGTTGAACACTTATCTGAGGAAATAGCCCTTAATTTTTTTTTAGCATCACTTTGTAAGGTTCTTTTTTTTTCAATGTCACTGCCCTTTTGTTATCAAACATTTCTTGTCCACTAACTTATATTAGTTTTACTAATATTAAAGTATTCCCTGGAACTGAAAATTTTGTTAGCTGTTTTTGTTTTTATTAAACATGTGTCACAAAACTGACAGCCTTCATATTCCTCCTCCAGCTTAGCATTCTGATTAATTGTTAAAGCTGATCAACATTGTTTGCTTCCCAATAAATAGTTCTTAGGAAATTTAAACACAAATTTCTCTGGCGGATGTTGAAATTTGGAAAATATTTTTTATCCTTATTGATCATTCAGATTTTTTCTCTATGAATTTTTCCCATTTGGTGAAAATTGTGAAGGAAATTTCTAATTATTTAAGGTAAATAACTGCATGATGTAGCTCAGTGTTTTCAGTATAGAAAGTCAATTAAGCTAATGCCAATCATTATAAGGTTTGTAATTTCCAGACTGATTTATAGCATCTATAATTTTATATAACAGTTTTGTACATGGGAGGAGAGCATTTTCTTCTATTACATTGTTCTATTTGCGCAGCTTCATATTTATACCAACTTTCTTACTGAGTTTAGTTTTATTACCTTTTTGAAATCTCATAAGCATTTTTTGTTTGTGAACTCTTTTTCTTCAGAATTTTATTGATTCTCCCAGTCTTTAAATATGGAAATGATATTTTTCTTGAGGATGAAAAAAATAATACATAACTATAGACCAATGGATTATAACAGTTTATTTCTACATTTGTTGTGGGTAGAAATAATTCAAATTAAGTTGAACAATTCTCAAAATCTAATAGAAATATATACTTATAGATTTCATGTAGCCAAGTATTTTTACATACATTGTTATGTGGATTTCTAATAGTTTTATAAATAAGACTGTCAAAAGACATACTTTAGACATTGTAAAGAGACATTATTAATAATTACTTAAGCACAAATTTAAATGTGTATTCCAGGCAAACTGACTTGTATGAATATTCAGTGTAATAAGCTTCTACTAGGGAAATATTCAATTAATCAAAGAAATATTGACTAATAATTGATTTAAAATAAATACCAGTACAGACTGGTTCTAACCTACAAACACTGAGAAACATATTAGTTACTCAA